CTACACGATGCTAATTGTTTTATTTTCCTTCTAGATCCACTAAATCAGTGGTTCTCAGTGGGCTCAGGTGGGGCCTGAGAACTCACATTTCCAAATCACTCTCCAGATACTGTTGGTCCAAGAACCACACATGGTGAAGTTCACACCTGGTGAAGTTCACACCTCCGCCTTCACTCACCTGCCAGGGAGATGTGCAGGTGCAGGTGTCAAATAACGCAAGTGACAGTAAGTTACAATTGTACTACTTTAATTTCTGTTTCCTTTAGCACCTGAAGCTGTTTTGTGAAAAACACTTTCTTATATTACTTCTGTAAATATGTAAGTTGTAGACACACACACAAACACACACACACACACACACACACACATATACTGTCATTCCACTGCCTAAATGAAAGTAAAGAAGCTGTCAGCAATGATAAGTATTTATTGACATTCTGTGACGGCCCAGGCTGTGACCGAAGTGCTTTAAATTAATTAACCTCATTTAATCCTCTGAATTGTGGAGGGTATTAATAAGGATACTCACTTTGCAGATAAGAAAACAGCATCCCCAAGGCCGCAGATTGGCGCGGTGGACCCACGCGGGGCTGATCTAGAGCCGTGTTCTCTTGTGCTTGCTTTTGTCCTGCCTGAGGCGATGGAGCAGACAACGTCTTCACAGAGGGATCGGACAGACCCGAGAGCTGCTGTTCCTCCTTTTCTCGCACTGATGTATCCTGCTTTGAAATACCAGGTCCTTTTAGCAGTATCACGGTGTAGCAGCATGTTGTTAATCCAATAAAAAGCGTTTGGGGCAGCTGTGCATATTTATGTATGTAAATGGCACTGGCGCCTGTGTGTTTCATGTTTACGGTCCACAATTTATTCCCTAGACAATAACCAAGGCCTGTATAAATCCCTGTTTATGGACCCTGTGACATAGGTCCCAACTGGTGGGTAGCAATGCTTCAGGAACCTGTGACATGCTCTAAATTTCAGCTGGAAGGCCGTCCTCTGACAAGCCAGGACAGCTCTGTGGCTGAAATTAGCCACAAAATGGAGGTCATTTGGTTAGTAGGTGGCACAGAGATTAAGGCAGCTGGATTCCACATGGCCAACTTCACAGATTGAGTCCTGGACCTGGCAGCTTGAAAATATGCCAGGCATGTGAGCATGCATGTCTCCAATCCTGAGAAAAACACAGAAAATTCGTAACAAGGACTCAGGTACACAGAATGCTCCTGTCCTCCAGGATAGCTAAAGTCAAAAGAGGCAAAATATCACATACTGCAAAAATCTTTTACTCTGCTGGTAGGTGTATGGACTGATATAACTATTTTGAAAAACTAGCAATATCTACGAAATCTGACTTAATAGATAGTAATAGGAAAGGGGATTGTGGCATGGCCCCCTCCACCCCAGTCAAGCACAAATGCAAAATTTAAAAATCAAATCAAATCAAAATTTGTAGTCCATAGTCTAGACGAAATATGCTTTTTATTTATGGACTTAAGTGAAACCAAATACTGGAGTTCAGTATTGAACCTTAAAATGCTTGTGTGTGTGTGCATGTGTGTGCGTGTGCGTGTGCGTGTGCATGTGTGTGTATCTGGGACAATGATGGCAGCTTTCAGAAACTATGGGACAGCTGAGGATGCCAAATAGCCCAGCCAGAGAGCAAGCTGGACGGGAGGCAATGGAAAGGAGGGGTTGAATGTCAACAAGCCTGAATCTCGGCCATAAATCATGCATTTCTGAGTTAATTTTTGCTCTTGGGTATCTGGGACAATGATGGCAGCTTTAGTTGTGAAAAAGAAGGCAGGAAGAAATGGGTTCTGAGAAAAGCTGTTTTTCTTTTTTTCTACACATTACATTAGGGACTTGCTAAGATAAACACGTGCTTCCACTTACTTGCCTTTCAGACTCACAGATCACTGTTGATGAGTGTAGAATGTCTGGCACAGCTGCTGAGAGGTAGGGGATGTCATTTCCTGACTGACAGCCAATTCCTGGTTATCTCGGTGCTCCTGCTCTTAGCTTCACACGCTGGGTGCAACCATATGTCCAAGTGGAGAGGTGATAGGGACCAACCTGAGGTCAAGTTGATAAGGTTGAAGTTGACTGGCTAAAAACAACATATTCCAACTAAGTTTACTTTCCTTCTTCTGTCGTCCTGCATGCACAAGGGGGGGGGGGTCTTTGAAAAGTTCATGGAAACTGAGAATTATGTAAAAACTATGCATGGATTTCAGAGAAGGTTTATGCCAGAGTAAACTGTGCTTCAGTTCTGTTTTACCATGAACTCGTTGATGTTGCCTCAAATATTATTAATATATTACCCTTAACACCAGCAAAACTTTAGATAAACGTTTCCAATACAGTTCAAGACTAAGCATATTTAAAACTCTATTTGAAAAAAAATGAGATTCACAACATAATTATGAATTATAGAGAATTTTTGTTTATCTTTCACTTAGTTTCCCCTAATGTTAACATCTTATATAACCATGGTAATTTATTCTTTTAAATAACTGACATTTAAAAATATTTTTAAAAGATAACAAAAGTATTAAATTTGCCTAATTTTTACAAATATATCTATGTGCATGGCTCACATTTGTACAGGTCATAATCATGATGTCTTTCAAATATATGGGTTGTAACATTTTGTGGATTATGAGATAGAACATAATGTTAATCTCTAGATGATTTTAAATCTCTAGGGACATTGTAATTGGTCATATTCTCTTTGAGATAGTTCATATTCAGTGGAACAATTTATTCTGTGAGTAAATTACAAATGAAAAGTAGGTCAGCAAATAAAATTCAAACTTAAGCGTCTTCTTTTAGAACTTTCTATTTGATTTCCAATATTCACTGTGAAAACAAATTAAATAATTCACAGATCTGTTAAAAAGCTGTCAAATCAGTCAGAAATGTGTTTTTACAAGCTAAGAAATAAACATTTCATTATACACTGGCCATTGCATGACCTGTAGCAATTTTTAAAAATATATTGTTAGAAATGTATTATTTATGCTGTGAAAATAATACATACATTTCAACCATTCCAGTTACCATAACAACATGATAAAGCATTTTCCTTGATTGCAATTCCAATTAAATGCATTTGGATTTGATTGCCACAACCAAAAGTAAGAAGAAAAAGAGATGAAGAGAAACAAAGGGTGAAAAAGAGGAAGAATATTAATCTAGCAATTCTACTTACACTCAAGGTCAAGGATTACATTTGTGTCTACCTTACTTTTTGTATTGGATATGTAGACTTCAGAAATACTTAATAGATTTTGAGTGTTGAGAAATAGTCTATTCAGGTAACGTAGAGAAAGGTATGTTTTCTAGCCTCTCTTGGAACAAGGTGTTATATGAGATTAAGTTTCCGCAGATTAAGTGTTAGCAGGAGTGCTACACGGCAGCTTCTAGAACTCTCCTTAAATGACAGCTGTAGCATGCATTTTTGCCTCTCTTTTCCTCCATCAATTTCTCCATTCTACTTCCTGAAACACAGTTATAATAGGCAGAACTCTAATTGCTATTGAGGAGTCTGACGACAGGGGAAATTTACCAGAGATGGCAGAGCAGTGGGTTAGAAACTGCTGGGGTCTTTGAGAACTTTCTAGAACAGAGATTTTACTCTGGCACTTAACTGTGCTTTTCAGAACTTTCTGTTAGGTTTTCAGAAAAATCATGATGCATTTTTCCATAGAAAAACAGAAAAAAATATGTCATGACTTTTCCAACAACCCAAAAGAAGAAATTGTTTCTTTTTTATTTAAACCATTGTTATTATTATTTTTTTTGGAGAGGTTTTCGTTATAGGGTGCGTGCGCTTGCCAGACAGAGAGAGACATAGAGACAGAAAGTGAAAAATCACCCCCCCCAGGGGGGATGGTCACGCCACAATCCCTTCTCATCCATTCTCCTCTTGGGATCTTGGCCATGCACGCACATGCGCCCGGCGTGAGTTTTAAGCCACCGGGTTCGGGACATGAACCGCGGTCGACTACGTGGGAGTCCAGTGACATAGCCATTACGCTAACTGCTGGTTCCCTAAACCATTGTTATTTTGCATTTTCCCACTGTTTGCAGTGTAATTCTAATATATCTTGTCTCTATAAAAAGTAAAAATATGAAACATGGGGCTTAATGTCTATATTTTCCAGAATCTTCTATTATTAATTTATTGTACTTACATTTTTGTTACCTGCAAATTTTTTAATTTTAATTTTATTTATTCATTCATTTATTATCATTTTTAAATTTGATTAGAGAGAGACAGAGAAAGCGATACGGGGAAAGTGAGAAAGCAAGCTACAGGCCTGGACTTGAACCATGGTCAACCATGTGAGAGTATCCAGCCCCTTAACCACTGTGCCACCTGCTGGCTCTCACCTGTAAATTTTTGAGTTTGCTACTCCTGGTGCTGTCATAATTTGGGGTAAGGTGAGTCCAACCCCAACAAAATGCCAACTGCTATGTCAGTCCTTAACTGCACCCTTACCTGGCCCCTATCACAGTGCGCGGTCTTAGACATACCTTAGTTTTGTCTTAGTTTGTTTTTCTTGTTGTTTTTGAGAACATCATGACATCCAAAAATAATTAACATAAAAGTCCTAGAGTTTAACAAAACCCCAGTAATGGGTATTGATTACTTAAGGTTTTTGTTTTTTGAACTTGGGAAAATAAAGACAGTTAATTTTTACTCATGTCAGTAAATTAGCAGGAAAAAAATGTACACTGTTCATTGTATTCTCAAAGTAATTGACAATCCGTTAATATACATTCAGTAGAAAGTAGACATAATGAACATATAAACTAAAGTGGGTCTCTTCTGAGCAATATAGGAAGAACTATTCTGTAATGGAAAAAGTATGCTAAATGATGTTAAAACAGTTTAGTTAATAGTCAGCATTTAAGAATTTGAAAGGAATGAGATAAAGTGGACAAGGATACATTTTTAATACTTTGCTAAGTGATAAGAATAAATATGTGTGATACACTGTTCTCAAATGATAAAGAAAACACTGGGCAGGGGCCAGCAGGTGGTATGGTTAAGGTGCTGGACTCACGTATAGGTAACCACTGTTTGAGTCCCCAGACATGGGTTGAAAGTCATACTGGGAGCATGTGCATGTGTGCCCAAAGTCCCAGGAGGAGAATGGAGGAGAAGGGATTTGGTGTGGCCATCCCCCATGGGAGTGATTTCTCACTTTCCCTTTCTGCCTGTCTCCAGTGAGTACACATGCCCTATAGCAAAAAACAAAAGCAAAGAAAAAGACAGGAAAATATGTTTTCTTTAACAAAATATATGTAAAAAAGAGAAATGGGGTAATGACAGGTTAGTCATACTTTAGACTAAATTTCTACAATGTTGTTCTAAGGAAAAACACATGTTACAATTTAATGCTGTATCAGTAAGAATGCTGAAAGTAAGCTACAACAGAACATAACCAGATAAACAATCCACGTTAGCAATTCTGCCTACAGCCCTCCCCGGTCGCTCCAGAATAGACCAGAATAGGGGAATCGTCAGATGAAGTTAATGGCTCTAAACACTCCTGCCAAAGAACTCGTGTCCTTGGGGGATTCTACAAATGAATCTGATGAACCTGTTCTTCCTACACCAGCCTGGTACAGCTTCCGTCTGTAGAACAAAACTTCTGTGGGTTTTTTGTTCATTTGTTTGTTTGTTTTTCATTTTTCTTCATCCTCCTTAGCATTCCCCCGGTATGTTCTAACCTAGACTATAGTTTTTGAAGGAAAGAAAAGGACAAGTTGACAATTTTATT